AGCATTGTCAATATTGAAAGTGGCACTTCCATTTTAACAATACAGGGTTTTATAATAAAAAAATCTATTACGATAGTTTAAGTTTTTATTTGGGAAATAAATATTAATTTTGCAATAATACAAATTAAATCCTTACCTTTAGACAGTCTCAACGTTAAATTAGTGCTGTTCTTATGGCCTGGAGGAGCAGCCTTTTGCAAGTGGAAAGCCTCTTTCTGTGTGAATTGTCTTCCAGCTTCCTTTTACTCCCTCCCAGCCTTCCCAAAACTGGAGTTCCCTATGCTGGATTGGCTACCTAATGTTCAAAGTTTAATACAAACCGAGGTACCATGGATTCTTGTCCAGTGAAGGACGCATGGTCAAAAGGCCACACAATGAACAGGACATCTTGTGCTACCACTTTCAACCTGTGCAATATACAGAGACAGGCAAACCAAACATACTCTTGAAAATTGATTCAAAAGAAACATCACATTCATATAAGATATATAAAATCGTGTATACAGGGGGTCTAGAGAGGAGATCACATCTTCTTAGAGAAATGTTAGGGGTAAAAACCCACTAATCACATTAAGTGCTGGAAAGGGTGTAAACACCACCATCAGAGTGATGCTTTAACTCCTAGGAAGGCCTTGGGCACCCTATGCAGGGAGCACTGCTGAAATAGATCATGTTGTGCAAAGCTTTTGGAATATAACACATGCAAAGATAGCTAAATAATTTTTTTTTTTATTTTATTTTTTTTATTATTTTTTTTTTTTTTAGAAAATACCTAGGAAGGGTATTTGTGACCCAAAGTTCTTTGTTACCCAGAACTTCAACATATCAGTAAGGACTATTTTGAGATGAAAACTGTTTTTTGACCATGTCTTTTGACATCAGATGCATTCGATGTATAATTCAAGAAGGAAAGTTGCTTATGGCAGGTTTGACTTTTCTACTCCAGGCCAGAGAAGTTCAGACAGTGCAAAGGCCCCTCTTAAAATGGAAAGCATTTCGGTTTGTTTACGTTGTGAAGCATGAACTAAGATTCAGAGACAGCTTACAGAATTTTGCACTTCCCAGGATTCCTGAGCAATTTGGGTAAACAGACTCAGTTGTGCAGTCTGTAGAACGAGGTTAGTAGAAAAACACCTCTGTAAAAGACCTTGTGTTATGTACGTTCAAGTGTCTGTGGGATGTTAGGTGTGAACAGTGTGCCAGCTGCTCTTTGTTAGCTCACCATGGGCTCATGTGATATCTCACCCTGCCCTTTCACCGGCAAACGTGCAGAGGGGCAGTTCCCACAGAGAAGCTGGCACAGCAATTCCCTGCACCAGTGGATTCGAACACCATTTCCCTGAAGGACCTCAAAGAGAAGAGGTATGAAACAGGATGGTACTTACTTCAGACCAGCAGTATCCACTTACTCTCAGTATTTACACTTAAGTCGGTGCTCCAAAAGGAAATGAAAGCAACAGTCCTGTTATATGGTGGTTTTGTGGTATTCAGATTTTTGTATCTGCTGCTTACAAGACCCTTGCTATGCCAGTCAGACATATTGCCATGCACTGCTGGCACAGGAGTGTTTTTTACATGAGAAGTTTGGTTCCAGTTGTGATTTTATTCATCTCCTTAGAAATGCTGGTTAGATAAGCACAAGCACCATGGGCCAACTGACCTGAACTGAAGGAACTGGGAAAGTATTAAACACTGCAGAAACTATTTGGCTACCAAGTTCTGTAGCTTGGTAGCCACGAAGAGACCAAGCTGCTGCCAACTTCATCCAGATAGCAGCCTCCAGACACTAACATAATAAACAACTTCTACCATGACAACTGGAACAAAAATCTGTTAACAGCATGCATCTCCTCTGAGATGTTTTTGTATCTTAAGACTTTTAACTGCTTGGAGGGATCTTAATTTATTCCACAGAGGAAGCTCTAACTCTTGCAGTCAGTAACAAGCCTAGTGGAACATGCACATAAATGAACAATAACATGAAGAATCTTTAAAATAACGCAGACTCTGATGTGGCACATGCATCAGCTTGCAGAAGTAGGCCTTGTTCTCCATGCATTAACCTACATATGTGCGAAGTACCGCAAATTTAAATCATTTTTTTTCAACCCCATTCAAAACCTGCAACACAGGCTAAACAAAGAGCATTGCCTGCTCTGTGTAAATACAAAAAGGACAATTTTTTTTCTAACAGCTTTATACTAAGCTTTAGAGCAGGAGTCTCAACAGGCAGCCTCACCCCTGAGGCTAATTAGATGCTGTACCTCACTGAAGAAGTCTCCAGTGACCCCAATGCTCACCCCCTTTCACCAAATCACGAGCTCTCAACTTTCCATAAAGAATTACAGTCAGCATCAGAGATGGGTTGAGAGGTTATTCTCATCTCCGTCTTTATTTTCAATCCTTACAGACAGGTTTGTTCACATCTTAGGAACTCAGAATAATTAGGTACAGATGAAGAAACAGGAAAGACTATATGGTACAGCCTTCTGCAAAGTGAGTATGGCAAGGACTGCTGCTGCTAACTTTTATTAGGTACGTTTTTAAACTCTGCTAGCTGGCAGCTGGAATGTTGTCCCAGGCAAAAAGGAGCACCCACATTTTACTTCACATTGCAGGCAGTTACAGGAGTACTTCACACCTGCCAGTTTGCATCCGCAGAGGTATTCAATGTTTTCTCCCAAATTAGCCCCACGCAGTACTCTCCCCCTCAGCTTACACGGCCCGTGGCAAAACTCAGCAACATCGGCTATTTTTGTACAGAATAAGCCATAGGTGATCATGGAGTGGGAAAGCTGGAGTATGATGTATTTCACAATACTGCAGAATGCTTACAGTGCTTTGACAGCTTTTCACAGAGGCACAGTCATGAGCCTCAATTTTGCCTCTACTTATCCCATCGGCAATTACTCTCATTACGAGGAAACACAGCAGTGATTATTCCACTACTATGCTGTACACGGCTTTAACCATGATGTGTGTGGTGGCTTCCTTGGCAATCAAATACTTTGCAACAAGTGCTATGTGATACCAGTGCTCTGTCTAGGAGTTCAGCTTCTTTTTGGAAGCCTTTAATGCTGCAAATTTTTTTTGGTCATATCCTTAGGTCAGAGTAAAAGGGTTTCCTTATCTGACTTCTGAAAAAGTACAAGCATAAAATTAACTGTGTCTTGGTCTGTGCTGTGACTTTGTCCCCATACACTTTTCCGAAAGTAAGGTTTCTCTAGGAATGTTGATTCTTCTAAAACTCCCTAATGAAATATGAGCTACGTAGCATCAGTTATTAAAAAAAAAAAAAGCTAATGTTCAAAAAACTTCCCTAAAAATGAATTTGAGACAACATGCTCAAGTAGTTTTGTTTACCTACATTTTAAAAAACCTTTGTTGAAATGGAAGCATGTTCTAGACATACACAAAAGTCCAGCTGTGATACACAGCAAACGACTCACTAGGACTAGACATTTGCATTCCTCTCTGTTAAAGATGAAAACCATATACTCCTAATACCACAATAAGCTTAAAAGAATGTCAGGACATTTAAAAAGGCACAAGTCACATTTTGTTTAGTTATATTATCCTTTATTATTTTACAATATATCTCAAAAACTTTTACAGATGCCTTAAACTGTTCTACAAGAGCTGCAATACTGTCATAAAAGCACACCTACAGACCGAATGCACAAACAAACTGTAGTACCTACTGGTATTGAACCATTAATATCCAAAGGGTGTAGTCTTTTAGTAAATAGATGTGCAGTAATGCAAATGCAAACAGATGTTAATGCAGAAAACCAAAACTCTGCATTCATGGCTATAGAACAGAGGACTTTTCAAACACATTTGGTACTGTAACATTCTAGACAGCAATGAGTAGTATTACATATTTAAAGCAATACATGCCCTGAAAAGCCTGTATTTTCGATCTGTGCGTGTAAACCTGAATCAAAAATAAACTATATATATTAAAAAACATGAGACATCTAGTCTGCCAACAAGCTTTTGTTTTGTTTTCTTCTTCTTTTCCTAGAATGATAGTTAACCTGGGTGGGTGAACTCTGACCTCCATTATTATTTTACATTATCATATCCTCAGCAGTTCTGTAGTATTATTATATGACAGCCGGTGATTTTTTTTTTTTTTTTTATTATTTACTCCTTGTGCATAGGCACAGGGAATAACTCTGATGCATTACATTTCTTTTCTGAGCCTCCAAGTGGTAAATATAACTCCTATTATAGCAAATACATTACCACAAAAAAGCATTGTATAATGAGGTTTATAACATGTTTTGAAGTCCTCAGCTGTATTTCCCTGGTGCAACAAAGCAGTGGCACTGCAGTTTTCAAGCACTGTGTTTTGAGTCGTCTCACACACAGTGTTTACTAACAGCTCAGATATATATTATTCTCTACCTACAGAAGTTCTGCTTTTATTGTCACTTCTGCTCACAGAAATTACTAAGACATCTCTAAACTTATACTGTCTGTAAGTTACAGGGCAAAGCCAATTGTTTGCATATGTTTTTATGCCAAGCTGATGTACTTTCATGGGAAACACATGAAAGACATTAGAAGAGAACAGTAACTGCATACCAAATTTTAGGGGGGGGGGAGGGGGGGGGGAAGATAGTTAAAGTCAAAATTTACGTGTGGCACTGAGGCAAGAGGCATTCTGTCCTGCTTTATACTTCAAGTTAAAAGTTTTAGTTACCATTAAATATTTCCTAACAGTAAACACCATTTCTTAACCAAGTACAGTCTACATTCCTCTATTCTCTGCAGGCAGGGCTGCAAGGGGTCATCACTACATTAGACCACAGATTTTTCTGCTAGTCTTCCCAGCTAGCCTAAACAGTAGTCAGTGGTATTTATTAAGTTTTTATGTATATATATATATATATATATCAGTCAGTCACACCCATCATTACAAATATGTTCTAGTTTATTTACTGTACAATGTGTGTATACATATTTGTGTTTATTCAATCCCTTTTTTCTTGTCTTAAGCACTCCAACGGTTAAGGGCGGGCTGGGAAAAAAATTCAGTATATATAAAAGGGTTATACATTTCAAGTCTGTAGTGATTCTAGTTTAATAGCAAAAGGGGAACATCGTGCTCACGCTGTGAACATGGTTGGCAAAAATAAAGGCAAAAAAAGTGGCAGACTGTATTTTTCTCTGGAGTCAAAATCTAGAAAATTAAACAAAATAATGTTAATCCAAAGGGATGCAGAAACAAAAGGGGCATTTTATTTAAAGCACAACTAGAGCTATTAAGAATTTTCTTTCACAGAGGCCCTGAGACTTGAGTTGAATGGATTCTCCCTACCATGTGTTTCAGTGAAGTCAAACTTAAAGCTCTATACGTATAGCATAAACATTTGGTATATAACAGTGGACCCATTTTTAAAAAGTGATGCAATAAAATCTACATGAAAAACAAACGGAAGAACAACTTGATTGGAGGCCTCTGTCCTTTGACCCCTGCCCTAAACGTCCAATAAAATGTAAAATGCAGCATACATTTGCTTAATCTAAAATTTTCGTGATGATTTATTGCAAATTGCACTTGGCAGTTCACCACACCAATGGAAAACTGGCCCCCCTGTTGTTCATTCACACAGTCTTTTAACACCAAATACAAGTCACCAGTAGAAAGATCTCGATAGAAAGTTTGCTGCCGTGCTGAGCCAACTTGCTGCACCTTCTGGGTGTGACCCAACACGAGACACTGCTTTGTCCTGCTCCTTAGTAGGGCTTTCGTCTTCTGGTAAATATTCAGGTAGATCTGTGTTCTGCTCGACTTCCACTGGAGTATCCTGGAACGGAACTAGCATCTGATAAAACACAACAGGTTAAAATTACATCAGATGTTGTAACTTAATGAATCAAAGTTATAACAGATACATGTTCAGGATGACAGACATGCATGTTGTGACACTCCTCCCAATCACCCTATACACCAAAAATATAAATGGAACCTAACATGCTTAGAAGATACACAAGGAAAGCTTTGGCTTAATATGAAAGAAAAAGTATCAAATAAATAAAGACAAAGCCCTTATACTGTAGTTGTGAATCAAAAGCACATCAGCAACTCCAACCAAAAAAACTCAGGTTCATTGCGACCCTTTTCATACTATTAAGGAAAGAAACAATTACAGTATTTTTGTCCTTCTTCTGAACAGTAAGTTCTGTAAAACTGTTCTACTGATTCACACCCTGACATAGGTTACCCTTTATTCTCTTTGTACTGTATGTGTTGCACAACTACCAGATGTTACACGCACAGAGGTGCTGATACTAAAGACACAGTCAAGCTATAACAGTTGGTATTTAGAAAGATGCACGTCCTACCTCCTCACCACTTTCACTTTTCACAACTTGCTGCGCCTTCATAACTTTGGTTGATGCTATTGCCGTTGCCAATGCCTACAAGTATACAGAAAAAAACAAGAGCTCAGTGCAACAGAATCCAGTAATGTGAGGATCTGGAGGATTACCAAGCACTTACCTCTGCTTTTAAGTCTGAGCGAATTCGGACCACGCACCTTTGAACAGCCATTTGAAAGGTAAAACTAATAACACCTTTAATTTTCAACAAGGCTTCTTCACAAAGATTCCGTCGAGACTGAAAAACAAACAACAATTCCACAACTGAAGTCCTTTTGTAACACACCAAGTGAAAGTGCTCCCAATTAATTGTTAAGGTATTCCTGTATGTCTCAAGGCACATGGTTGTGGAACCATGTTTTTGTAACAGAAGAACTAAGACTTACATTTTAGTGAACAAGTATTAGACTCTCTTGCTACCCAAAAAAAAAAAAAAAATTGCTTACACTTTAGAAGTCAAAGAAGGATGGAATCAACTGTAAATAATTAGAGAAAAGTGCTGAAAAGCAAAGAATGTTTTTCTCCGTATGATCAGCTAAACAGTCCCCTCTGGTTAAGTTCTGATTGACTGAAGTGCTCATTGATGAGTAGTTAGTGTTTAAGTTGCTATTTATCAGGCACCTTGGCTCCATACTGACTGAATGCATCAAAGCAGCTGTTGTATTTTTCAGCTGCTTCATCTGTGGCAGCTCACAGACATCATGGCACAGCATAATTCTTATTTCAAAGGGAAAATATTTGGTTGATAACCCACAGAATGTTATGTTTAAAGCCAATGACATTGCCTGTGTTGTAACATTACATTGACCTGTACTAGTTGCAACTGTTACAATACCTTAGAGTGTTCTATTTTTTGCTTTTATTATTTGCACAAGATGGTTGTATCAAAAATAATTAGAATATTGGAGAGACTGCTAGCACATAAGGGGATAAAAAAGATACACTGTACCAGGGTATCTGACAACCTTTACACAGGTTTAAAATAATCATATATTTAACTGCTATTGCAAGATTCTGCAAGGTTTTATATAAGTAGTTATTTCAAAGCATATTTGTATCAGTTATCAAATAATCACTGGTCAGTATTTAGGATAACTCCATGCACAACAAGCAAATTTAATTCTCTTAATCTGTGGAAAAACCAACTGATGCGGTTAGGTGTTTTTTTTTAGCAGTCTAGCATGTATATTGAAATAATTAATTTGTGAAAGTTTATGTAGTGAAATAATTAACGTATTTGTGTTTCATAAAAAATAACTTTGTCAGGTAGGCTACCTTTTCTATACAAAGGAAATATTTGATGCAAAGATGACAGGCTGCCTTACACGAGTGAAAGCTGGACACAAGAAGCCAAACACTTGTAGCTTCTTAGCCTAAACAAATAATTTATGCTTACATGAATGTATAGCAATTCTGTGACAGAATCTGGCTTTTTACTCCAATATCCCAGGTAAATCATAGGCACCTCAGTTTAATTTGAAATGAGGCTTTCAGTGACCAGATAACTGGTGAATCACTTCTTAAAGACTGGACTTAATAAGCTCCACATAAACTCCTTAAAAAGCTGGCAGCTGTCAAGCCTTGCTGCACAAACACACTTTGCAAAAGACATTTAACTACACCAGGTAGCTGCAAATCCCAGCAATACACAGATATCGTTCTGCATGGTATTCCTGAAACATGGGCACAAGGCAGGGCAAGGTAGGTTATTTTCTTGCACACCAAACCCTGATTACCATACTCTAACAAACGCTGCAAAGATGTACAGACTAGAAAACTGACTGAGGGGCATGCTACAAAATGCTGAATTATTGCCCTGTTTTTTTCTTTTTTTTAAAGATTTTTAGTAATTATCATCAAATTTGATAATTAGATCTTAAAAACATGTGACTCCACACTAAACGACCTTTCCTCTGGCTTCCTAAAACAATCAATATCTACTATTTGAGGTTTCGAAATCCACAAGCATTTGTAAGACCTGCAATCATTCCTAACAGCAGCTTCTTGCTACAAACGGAAATGACTGAGAGCACCATGTCTGCAGCCCTATATTTGCTTACTATGCCTTTTAATGCTCACACAGGTCACTTAATATTCTTTGCCAGTTAAGTCAAGAATAACCTATTCAATGAAAGTAGGCTGCTTTTGTTGCTCACATTGTTCACCAACCTCCCAGTCTTACCTTATTGTGACATCTATAACAGCATTAAAGGGAAGTTTAACTGCTGGGTGAGCACCTGGAGTATCACTAACATTTGTACACTAGCCATCTCAGCCAGTGCACAGCCAGATTTTTCTTTAACAATGAGCTAGGAAAACGTGCTGGTCTACCTGCAGTTTTTCTCTCTGCAGATGAATATCGAAATACCCTATCCTTTTTCTCAATACCTCTGCCTCAGTACCGAAGAGAGAAAACTCCACAAATCTCGCTAAGTTGCACTTGTCAAAAAACACAAAGAAGCATTTCTGAGATAGAATCAGACTACAGGCAAAATATCTAAACTCATAAAGTAGAAACAGTTGAAATCTCTTGCTTGGAGATACCTGTGAACAAACAAATCAACTACAAGCTTAAAAACAACAACTGATGGAACTGAATTAAAAAAAACTTCACAGAGCACAAAAGCCAGTGGTGTTGACAAAGCACTGCCTTTCTAGATAGAACAAGTGCTGGAAGGACAAAACTGTAAAAAATATTTACTTTGTATAAAGTGAGCTAGAGCAGCATGTTATTTCTAAAGGAATTAGCTGTGGTCTTATGAAAACAGTACAGTGGGGATGCTGTTGATAAACTGGGCCTGTGGACACGCTTACTTGGCAAAATGTAAAGCAACAAAGCAAAGGATCAGGTTTGATCATTTAAAATGGGTACAAAACTGAAAGATACAGAGTCCGGAGGGCACTTGTGGATAACGTGCTTAAGCAGTCTACATGCTGTTTGGCAGCCGTAAAAAGGCAAACATGGCCCTGGGGTGTTATCTACAGGGGTATGGTAGATAAATCTGTAGAAGTTATTCTGACATTACATAAAGACTCAGTGAGACCTCATTAACTCAAATGCCATTCTGGTCACTACGGTAGAAAAGATCTCACGGACAATGAAAAGATGCATCAAAACCAACTCAACAAAAATACAGTGTTTCTAAATTAAGAGTAACAAAAATACCCCACAGTGTCTGAAATCTCTGGTAACTAAAGGGAAACTTTTTCTATATTAACACACTGATACAACCACAGGATACCTGTGAGTGACAATGCTGAAGGCACCTTGTTTATTCCATTCTTTCTTGAAAAAGGAATGAAAATTAGGAGAGGTAGAAACAGAATAGATTTTCAGAGTAATTAAAAAGCCATCAAGAAAACTGCCTTAAAACATTTTCAGATATCCTGAGTAAGCTCAATTTATGCACGATTTTATACGTATCTCGTGATTCAAAATATGATCCACAGAAATTGCTGACAACTGTGATGATGCCACACAAGTAGCCCAAGTACCTTGTTTCTGTGGGCAAAACACATCCCAGCACAGCGTGCCTTATTTAGGTGAACTCTGCAAGGCTTCCTTACCGAATCATCAAGGCCATCTATATGCAAAACCACTGTCTTGGCACGCTTATTTGTGCTGCCAAGGAAAAACTGTGCTTTCCGTCGACGGTAATTCATCTCATTCACATTGTCCATGTCTGACATGTTGGAAGACTGAAGGATATCATAGACTTCAGAANAAAAAAAAAAAAAAAAAAAGGAGTTAAGATTTTAAAGTATTTTTACATTAGAACTCTAAACAGCTGTTGATGACATCCTTGTAACTGGAATACAGTCAAGAGATAGCAAAAATGTTAAGAAAGGAGAGCAGAAATTAGGTAAAACTATTTTCTTTCCCATACTCCAACTTTTATGTCGATCTGTTAATTCCAAGATCATTATAAACAACTCTTTTCTCAAACAGTATTAATATAGTTCACATCAATTTGACAGCTAGAAACCAAACATGACAATAGAAGGTCAGTGCATAGTGCTTACTTTGTTTTGAGCTTTACTTTTTTAAAACAAAAATTCTCCAATTGCTTTCTGACATGTTTTGTTTCCCACTTTCCTTGCTACATTATAAAAATAATTCCTCTGTAGAACTGTAATATTTCCAAATGTTTTCTTCTCCAGATTTACCAAGCATCAAAAGCACAGCAGAAACACAAATTTTCTTGAAGAATCCAAAGGTTATTTCTGATTAGATTAAAATTTATGGTATGAACTATAGGATAGCATTTTTTTAGGTAGAAAAAATGTAGATAATAGGCCAAACATATATTAAATTCTCATGATTAATTAAAACTAAACTTAATAAAGTATTAATATAAATCTGTTGTCCAAATTCAGCCCTGTTTTAATTATGCCAGTGATTTAAAGCTTTGTGCAGAAACAAAATTATTACCACATCAACTTGCAATTAATCTTAAAATGATGAATGACAGCTTTGCTGCTTTGTTTAGCAAACACTAAGTAAGTAACAAGTACCTTTAGATTTATTTTTTTTCCATTTGACTTCCTTAATTACCAGACATTAAACACATTTTCCATCCTACCATATGGACAAGAGAGAACACTGAAGTAAGCATGTTAGGAGTTCTTGGCTTGTGGGGGTCTCATCAGCTAGCCTTTTTTTTTTTTCTTTTCCTCTGCACCTTGTTTTGAACAGCACCCATTTGGAGAGGAAAAATATGAGTTCTTGTGATAATTCAGTACATTAGTAGCATTCCAAAGGAAAAACAGAAATAAAAAGAAAGAAGCGGTAATAAGCAAAACAACCAAGACCTACAAAAGGAAAGCATTTCAGCATATGTTCAGTTTTAAATACATGCTTACGTTCTGCTTTCCTACACTGAAAAGAATGCTTATGTTAATTCACAGAAACAAGTGCTGAGAACTCACAAATATTTCAACTTCATCTTTCCGTGATTCATTAGACAAAGTAATAGAACAGATGATAAAGCCATGCAAGCTGATGTCCTGAAGTAGCAATAAATTAGCTTCTGCAAAAATGACATCTTACCAAGATACTAAGAAATTAACCCACCTGTTAATTTTGGCAAATTCTTTCAACAACAATCCTGTCCATGTTAAGTGATTTACAATGGAAGACTTTTGGGTTTTGGTAAGTTTAAAATTCAGCTCACTAAGCACACTGTTGAAAAAGTCATTATTCCATCTAAGCACCCACTATGTTGTTGGTAAGGGGGTTTTGCCTGAATACAATTGTACTGTTGCATCACAGAGTTTAAAAAAAGAAAAAGACAAATGAGAAAAAAATACTTGATATTTGCCATTTTATATATATACACCTACACAAAAGAGAATTTAAAGTTGTCAATATGTCAGCAAATATAAGATATTTAAATGCCTAAAAGTAAAAAATCAACAGTGATTTTCATACACGTTTTCTTCTCCTGATGTTAGTTGGTACAGTTCTTGGAAAACTAATGACCTTATAATAACTGTACTGTGGAAACAACCTGTTCATTTGAAAACACAAATGTAAATTTGTTCTTTTTGATACAACTATTCTGAAATCTTCCTAAAACAAGTCTATACAGGTAAATGTTTTGTGTACACACACACACTCTCTCTCTTAAACAAGCAACTCAGATAATTTCCTGAATTTTTCCAAAGAGGATTTCTATTACCTATGACTAAGTTACAGATGGTAACTCTAGTTACCACTATACATTAAAAAAAGCGCCCAAATGCAAGACTTTAATCTCTACATAAAGAGAATCTGTAATAAGCAACTAACTGTGTAACAAAAAGCAGCAAGAAACTCAGACACTACACTACAAGGGTAAGAGCAATGGACATCTTGTAAAAATATCAGACTGCAAAACAATCCCCAATAAAGGTATACACCAGTTTTATTCTGCAGAAATAAAATACTACACTTGTAGCAACTCACTTGAAAACAAAGACACTCAAAATTCCTGATGAAACCTTCTACAATTTTTAGTGCACTGGTAAAATGAGTGAATACAAGTTTTGCATCAACCTCTTATTCTTTTCATTAAATCAATGCATACAACAGCTATAAAAAGAACAGAAACTGTAACATCAGACTAGAACAAAAAGAACTTTTTTATGATGGCAGTGAAACACTGGAACAGGTTGCCCCACAGAGGTGGTAGTTGCCTCATCCCTGGAAATGTACAAGGACGTTGGATAGAGCTCTGATTGACCTGAAGACATCCCTGCTCATTGCAGAGGGGCTGGACTAGACAACAGTTCCCACCACTGGAGGTTTTCAGGATACAATCAGACAGGGCACGAGAGAGTCTCACTCAGGTTCCCTTTCCTAGGAAAGGCTGAAGTAGATGATCTTTTGAGGTCCCTTCCAACCTGGGCTCTTCTGTGATTCTGTGACTAGTGTTCTCCTACCCTACAAGGGAAATGGTAGTATCTAATTAGAGCAAAGTTGGCACGAGTTGGTTACCATCTCTTTCAGAGGCGGTAACATCTTACATTACTTCAGCAGCATTCAGAAGATGCCTGTCAGAGACCCAACCCTTTAGTTTTCACTGTCTTCTTGAATTCCTGTCATCCTAGATTGCTGCCTGTCCTTCCATCATGTTCACCCAAGGCTGGCTGTAAAAGTAATATGAACACAGAATCCAAGTGACATGTGCTGTATCTGTCAGAAGAGGATACAAGAAATAGTTCTCATTTGCTTTACAATTAAAAATAACTTTGTAAACATGGTCCAAGTGCTGCAGGGGTTTTATTAACATAACATCACATTTCTTAAGTTTTAGCTCAACTTAAAGGACCCATAAACCTACTGACTACAACTCCAAAGATACACGTGATGTAGGTTGCATATGGATGCTTGGAAAGAACGTGTAAGCAGCATATAGCCACTATGGCTGTACAACCAGTATGCGACTTAAATATACACAGAGCATCACACGTGACATAATATTGAAGGGCCCAACAATCTTCCTAGCATTGCTGCATCCGATGCAAAGGTAACACAGAAACTTAGTTTCTCCCTTAAGAAGATGCACAAAGTCTGAGAAGGACTAATAGTGGATTTTCCCCTTTTGGAGAAGGACAAGACAAATATATTAATAAATATATATATACGGGGGGTGTGCGTATAAAAGATCACCTTATCCTTTCTAAAGCAACTACGCATCTTTTTTAAAATAAACACATGCACATACATGTACATTACAGACACATTCCTGTATCAGAGGAAACAGATGCAACCATAACCCTGCTCAAAGTACAGCAGACCCTGTGCACAAGCACAGAAGCTATTACAAATGCATTTCCTCAGTGGCACACATTGCACCCTAAAGACACATTAGCCAAACAGTAACAAACATACTGTAACAGCTTTCATTAGAGTGTTTCTATTGACATTATAACCTTGAGACAGGAGGTTTTCAAATAAAAAAGGAAATTTTTCTTTACCCAAGACTCAATTACACCCCAGATTCTATCAAAACAAGATTTGCATCATTGAATTCCAAAAGTCTCGCTTCCACAGTGATTCTGCTTCTGGATGCACTTGCTCAGTTTGTCCAGTACCCACAATAAGATGACAAAGTAATTACCCAGCCATGAAATTTCAAGGCTCTTGATAATCTTTGAACCCTTAGGAAGGTGATGAAACAAACCTGGAAACCGTTTCTTCCAAGTACGTACGTAAAGGACAAGAAGGCAACCAGGAAAGGTGAGCTTGGATTCACAGAGAGGAAGTCATGTGAGACCATCCTGAGAGCCTTCACAATGAAGTGACTGGCTTCACTGGGATGAGACAGCAAATGGATATTGTCTTTTGACATAGTCTCCTACACAATCCTCACAGAAAAGCTGATGAAGAATGGACTGTCTGAACAGATTGCAAAGTGGCCTGAAAACTGTCTGAATAGCCAGACCCATAAGGTGGTGATCAAGGCCATGAAAGCCAGCTGGAGGTCAATATCTAGCAATGTACATCCTGGGTCAATACCAGGTCCAATTCTGTTCAATATCTTCATTAACATTTTCAATAACAGGACAGAGTGGACCCTTAGCAAGTCTGCAGATGACACAAAACAGGAAGGAGGGGCTGATATGCTAGATAGTTGTGCCAGAGGGACCTCAACAGACTGGAAAAACGGGCTGACAGGAACCTCATTAAGTCCAACAAGGGAAAGTGCAAAGTCCTGCACCTGGGGAGGAACAGCCCCCGGAAACAGCTCAAGTCAGGCACAGTCTCAGGATGACCATATGGAAAGGAGCTTTGCAAAGAACCCGGGGGCCCTGGTAGACACGAAGTCCAACATTAGCCAGCAAGATGCTGTTGCAACAAAGAAGGCTACTGGTGTCCTGGGCGGCACCAGGAAGAGTAATGCCAGCAGGTGGAGGGAGGTGATCCTGCCCCTTCAGTCAGCACTGGTGAAGCCTCATCTGGAGTGCTGTGTCCAGCTCTGGGCTCCCCAGTACGCAAGATATAGGAACGTGCTGCAGAGTCCAACAAAGGCTCAAGAACATGATTAAGGGGCTGATGAGAGAGAGGGGAGAGCTGGGCTAGGATTGTTCAGCCTAGAGAAGGCTCAGAGGGGATCTTATCAATGTATATAACTACCTGAAGAGAAGGTGCAAAGAGGACAGAGCTCTTCTCAGTGGTGCCCAGTGCTAGGACAAGAGGCAGTGGCACAAACTGGAAAAATCAGAAAACACCCTTTCACT